GGGGGAGGGTGACTTTTTATTTTATTTTTATTTTTGAGGATAATAATATTAGGGAAAAAACATGTTGTTCAATTAAAAAACTATTTCTTCTCTAAAATCACGGTCCTGCGTAACTAACACTTCAAGAAGTTATATGGTTAAAAGAAAAGTAGAAGCTACAGCTTTTGAATGTTTAAAATGTTACTTCTTACACCGATGAAATGAATCCTTCAAAAGGTTTGAAAATTATTATTGGCATTAAAGATTTCTTTTCTTTTTAATCTCCCAGCATCCTAGGATAATTGGTACTCCTTCCGTTCTACTTTATATAACAAAGTTGAGATTTGAGAGCACGAGGAAAAAAATTATTAACTTTTGTGTTAATTTCAAAAAAAAAATTATAAGAAATTAAGTACAAAGTTACAGTAACTAAAAGTTAAAAAAATATTTAAAAAAATATTTGTAAAAATCATGGTAAAAAAAAAACATTTTAACTCCCAAGAAAATATTGTTTTATACAAAATGAAACATAGGGGAGGAATTATTATCTTATTGACTCTAATATTATAGATTCTCAAAAAAAAAAAAAAAAAAGGAACAAGGACTTTAAGGATATGGATAAAAGGGCTGCGGATCAACCAACGACCTTTTCTTTGACTAGTTGATACCACAGGTTAGCGGTTCTTGACTATTTTTCATCGTTTTGAATTTTGTTAAAAGCTTGGATTTTGACTTTCCACTTCTAAATTCATATAATATCTGTCCAAAACGAAGCTATATATATATATATATATATATATATACTCCCCGTGTGACATATTATGTGATCCTTTCCGATTTTTGATATTCAACTTCTTAATTTTTATCATGTATTAAACCATAATATTTTTAAGCTTTTCAAAATAGAAGTTATATATTTAGAAATTACGTAAAAAATATCATAAGTCACAATATTCAATAATTTATATATATGAATAAAAAAAAATTACAATTAAACAAAACTTTTCTTTCGAAATTTGAACATTGTCATATAAATTGAGATGAGATATTAATATTGTACTAGTAGTTTTCTTGTGTCAAAGTTGACTACATGTAAGCCCACAGGTGTACAAATTCAAACTCCAACGTGGACTGGGCCCACAGCTTCAATGAGTCAACTTTGGTGGCCTTTTCTATCGAGTCAAAATTCTTACCGAAAAAAAAAAATTCAGTCGATTTCCTAAAACCCCAAACTCCGTTCATACCACGGGCTTAACTATAGGATACGTGAATTCAAGGTCTCTATCTAAAATTAGATATTTTATGTATATATTTTTTGAAATTAGTATAATATTAACTGTTGGCAATCATACTCCAAGAAGATTAAATGGTCCACTTGGTTGAATGTTGATTTATTGTCCAAGAGGTATAGGGATCAAGTCCTATTAGATAAATTTTTTCCTCCTTTTTTTTTTAGTAGTGCACCCATGTACTAGAAATCCTAGATCCGCCTCTGGTTCATACCAAAATGTAAATTGCGTGGGGCGCCTTTGGTCGTCCCTTTTTAACTTGTACCCATTTTATTTTTTCGTTTATATTCGTATTTGTTTTTTGTTAAAGCGTTTTAAAAAGACAATTTTGCTCGTCTTTAATAAAAGACTACTTTCGGCAAAATAAATTGAAGTTTCGGATAAAACTCATGACAGAACTATAGATTGCAGGATAAAACTTCAGCATGTTTTGGTATGAAGTTTTAGCAAATGAACTAAATAACTTCAGCAAACATTAGCAAAAACTCATTAGAAAATTACATACTGCTAGACAAAAACTTAAGCATGTTTAGTCTGAAGTTTTAGCAAATGAACTAAAAAACTTTAGCTTGTTTAGACTGAAGTTTCGAATAAAACTCATGACAAAACTGTAAATAGCGGGAAAAAATTCCAGCATGTTTTGGTATGAAGTTTTAACAAATGAACTAAATAACTTCAGCATGCATTAGCAAAAACTCATTAGAAAATTACACACTGCAAGACAAAAACTTAAGCGTGTTTAGTCTGACGTTTTTAGCAAGTGAACTAAAATAATTCAGCTTGTTTAGACTGAAGTTTCAGATAAAACTCATGACAACACTATAGACTGCAGAACAAAACTTCAGCATGTTGTTGTATGAAGTTTTAGCAAATGAACTAAATAATTTCAGTTTGCATTAGCAAAAACTCATTAGAAAATTACATACTGCAAGACAAAAACTTAAGCATATTTAGTCTGAAGTTTTAGCAAATGAACTAAAAACTTTAGCTTGTTTAGACTGAAGTTTCGGATGAAACTCATGACAAAACTGTAGATTGCGGGACAAAACTTCAGCATGTTTTGGTATGGAGTTTTAACAAATGAACTAAATAACTTCAGCATGCATTAGCAAAAATTCATTAGAAAAAGACATACTGCAAGACAAAAACTTAAGCATGTTTAGTCTGAAGTATTGACAAATGAACTAAAAAACTTCAGCTTGTTTAGATTGAAGTTTTGGATAAAACTCATGACAAAACTGTAGACTACAGGACAAAATTTCAACATGTTTTGGTATGAAGTTTTAATAAATGAACTAAATAACTTCAGCATGCATTAGCAAAAACTCAATAGAAAATTACATACTGCAAGACAAAAACTTAAGCATATTTAGTCTGATGTTTTTAGCAAGTGAACTAAAATACTTCAGCTTGTTTAGCCTGAAGTTTCGAATAAAACTCATGACAAAATTGTAGACTTCAGCATGTGTTGGTATGAAGTTCTAGCAAATGAACTAAATAACTTCAGCATGCATTAGCATGAAATTTTAGCTTCTTTGTGAAACAACTTCATGTTATATTAGCATGAAGTTTTAGCTTCACTGAAACAACTTCATGCTACATTAGCATGAAGTTTTAGCTTCAACGTGAAACAACTTCATGCTACATTAGCATGAAGTTTTAGCTTGTATTTGATAAAACTTCAGACTTCAACGTGAAACAACTTTTTTCTATATCCTTCACGCATTAAACTTGAAGTTTTGTATAGTTTTTGAAGATCTATAAGTGAAATCTTCACGTTATATCCGTCACATAACTTTGCAAGTGTGATTCTGAAGATGAATCTGATTTAAGTTTCTGGTTTTTTGATAAAGCTGCTGAGAGGAGATGAGGAGATCTTTTTTCACGAATGAGGTTGCAGATCACGCGAATAATGCGTGATGCATGTTTTATATCTTTTATCAGGGGTATAATTGTCATATTATTACGGATGTTTTGTCAGCTGACTACTAAATTAATAATTTTTAAAAATAGGGTATATGTTAAAAGATGACACAAATATAGGGTGCGGCTGCAAATCCCTCCTAATTCCATAAATTGTAAAAGTAGCCCATAAAAATAACACTTTATTTGATCCGAAAGTCAGATTTTTTCTTTAATAAATAACAACCCACGTACAATTATATTCAATATATGATTCCCACCAAATAGAGAATTTTCAAAATATTATTCTTATACTGAAGTCTTTGATTTTTTCTTCAAATATTTTCTTATTGATAATGTTCAAAAATTTACGCAATCAGTCAAGTCATAAACACCAATAGCAATTAAGTTTTATTTTAAATGATTAATAACCGGAATGGCGGAACCAGAATCTGTTGAAATCAGTAGGTAAGATTTAAATGTTTTAGTTTTATTTTAAATTGTAATAAAAAGCCAAAAAACATGGCCAAGTCATATATAGTCAGAGCTGAGTCAGATGCATTGGAAGGTCGAGCTAAGGAGTCATTCAACTACCTTCTTTAATTTCTTCCTCTCTACTGTATGATGCTGTCTTTATAATCAACATTAAACTACATTATCATCTTCTATAATTGGTGCTAAATTTAGAATGCCTAAAATCTCTTCATTCTAAAATTAAATTTCAGAGATTTGATCTCACTGTAATGCTACCATTCACTTGTTAGGTTGGCCATTAGTAAGCCCTCTCCACCTTGGACCAAACTAGTAATTAACTTAATTAGTCCTTACATGCATTTATTTATAGTCTTCGGGGCAAATTTAAGCACATCTGTTTTTTTTTGTTTTTTTTTTCAGTACTAAAGTCCAATCTGACGGTATTCGAGGGCCATCCTTATCTTCTCCATTTAGTTTTGTCTAATTGAAGATGAATTCACCTACCAATACCGTGCAAACAGAGGCGGAGCCAGGATTTAAAACTTAGGGTTTTGAGATTCTAATCTGTTTATGTTACTGGGTTCTACATATTCAATAAATTTATTAAGATAAATATAGGGTTTGGACCACAACTAATAGGTTCGGCCGAACCCGTATTCCATAGGGAAAATAACACTGTATAGCCGCTCTAAAAATAATAGCCGAAAAATGTATACACACTTTGTATGTTTATATACACAAATTATACAAAATTTCTATACTTTTTCGGCTATTGAATGTAAATAATTTTTAGCGTTGGCTAAAAGTAATATTTGCCATGTCCCGTATTCTAGCGCCACCCCGGCGTGCAAACTAGAAGTGACTAGAAATTATCATATTCTAATGTCCTTATGTAGATATGTTCAAATCTAACAAATCAATTTTGAATTGGACAAATATCAAATATATACGTATAAACTTTATCAGAAGAATTTTTTGTGTGTCAAGTGTTTACTTAACGACCATAAATTAAATCAAGGAATACATTTACTCGTTCGAGTAATAGAAAATGAAGAAATTTATATAATTCTTTCCAAAAAATTGAATATATCATAAGTAACCAACTAATTAATGGCATACAAGTCTAAAATAAATAAATAAACACCTACTAATCCACCATCGGTGGTTTAGCCGTTTCTAACTAACCTAATGAAACTTCCTAAAAAGAAATCCTATCCTCGTATAAATGCTTTCGCATATTTCTATTTTTTCAACTTCTTAATATTTGATTTACTTACAATTTAGCTGAGCTAAAATTCAATTTAAAGCTAGAAGCTTCGCCAGAAACAAATAAAATGAGGTCACTATTGTCGCTCTACTTCGTAGACAAGACTCGTTCCGTACTTTACTTAAAAGTTCGCGTCATTCACATGACCGAGCAACCATTAGGGTTTTCATCACTGAACATTTGTGGTGCGTTCAAGTACGTTGGTGGAGGAGGTGGTGGCACATATTGTGGTTGGTGTGCATAGCTTGTATGAGCATAACGTGGATCGTACGTTGTCAAGCCATAATCTTGATTCATATGACTTTGGTTATGCATAGGCATTGCATAATATGTATTTGAGTTGTAACCATAGTATTCTATTTTGTTGATCACTTCTGTCTTCTTCTCTTTCGACTCGCCGTCTTTTTTCTCGGCGTCGACACCGCCTTTCTCTTTCTTGTCCCCGCCGCCGCTGACGCCGCCACCGCCACTCTCTTTCTCCTTCTTGTCATTGCCACCCTCTTTGTCTTTCTTTTCACCACCTCCATTGTCTTTCTTTGGTGTAACAACTTCAACATTTTGCTTTAATTTATCTGTCAAGTAAGGAATTAGCTTCTTTATATCCACTATCCCCTTTATCGTGACCAAATCTTTTTCTGATTGTATTGTCACCTCTTGTACCCCTGTCCAAAAATAAAAGGGTAAATAATAAGCACTTAGTCAACCACTATGCAATAGCCTAGAGGCGTCAGGTGAGGCGTCTAACCTAAAACTTTTGACGTGGTAACATAAATTTATGTGTAAAAATTTATTAAAATTTAAAAAAAAATATAAACCCATAATTTTAAATATAAAATAAGTTCAATACTAAAAATCTTAAAAGTTGAACTCATAGAACATAAACTTTAAATCGTCTCTGCCACTATAGAATAATATAATCTCACGAGAAGGGAATCATTATTATATTGAGATTCGAATATAAATATTTGGGAACTGAAAAGATGGTTGCAAGGTGCACCTAATTTTATGGAGAATATAATTTGTAACGTACGTAATTAACAAAAATATCCATAATAAGCTAATCAAAGCGATTCAGTGTATCTTACCTTTAATCTTTTTTATAATTCGTTTTGTTTTATGTGCACACCCGTCACAGTGCATCCGAATCTTCAACACCACAGTGCTTGCTTGAGGCTAAATAATCACACAAAAAATAATAAAACGAAACAAATTAGTGATAATTCAATTAATCTAGTCCAAGAATTAATTAATTTCAGAACATTTATTACTTGAGGACTAATTTAGCAATAAAACTGAAGAGGTGTACGTTACACAAGGCTTTTTAGTTTTTACCTCTTTAGGTTTCTTCTCCTCGTCTTTCTTCTCCTCTTTCTTTTTCTCTGTTTTGTCGTTAGATTTTTTATCTCCGCCGGCGCCGCCACTGCCGCCGTCCTTTTTGGGCGGCGATGATATCAGCTCCACCTTCTTCTTGGTCTTGATTTCCACCCTTTCCCGGAGCCATGAGGGGTCCACATTCCCTTTTACTGTCAATTTTCCATTTTCACAGTCCGATTTCACATCTTCCACACCTTCATTTGGATAACCACAAACTCATTTAGCCCAAAGCTAAAACTCTACCTTATACTAGTGATTAAATCAAATTAAAAAAATGGCGTGACTAAAAGTGTCAATTTTAAGAATTTTATTATAATTTTTGTATTCACATATAAAGTCAAACCTCTCTATAACAACTGTTTTTGTTCCGATATTTTTTAGATACCGTAGCAAAGTGATATTATAGAGAATTTATATTATATTATACAAGGACGATGTTATAAAGAAGACTGACTGGATTAGCGAAAGCTATGAATTTGAGCGTCAAATTCGGAAGTAACAATGATGGTTCCTTGAGGATTCCGAAAAGTACATTGTTCCGGCAAATTTAAGAAACCAGGCTTCAACCTTATCCGAATAATAATAAATATAAATTAAAAAAAAATGAATTTAGTCAAAAGACATACACAATTTCCATGATTATGGTTCACCTGTTCATTTTCGTTGTTAATCTTCAAAATTTGAAGCTTAAAGTCAAAGTATTCATTGTGTGAAACCAAACACTAAACCAGACGAATTAACCAATGTACCTATGTAATTAGCGATATTTTTCCAAAAATATTAATTAATTAATTACCTTCAGTGTGGCGAATGAAACGTCTGACTTTCTTGGCACAGCCTTCACAATGCAAATCGAGCTTTAACACTATGGTGGCAGCCTTCTCTCCGCCTTCTTTCTTCTTGTCTGCTCCTTTAACTTTGGTTTCTTCTTTTTTCTGAAATCCAAAAAATTAGAAGAAAAATTATGTTTAAGTACTACTAGGAAAAAGATATTGAAAATAGGGAAAAGAAAGATGGAATTAATGAATTACCTCGCCCATTTATTTGAGAGGATAAATGAAATAAATTTAATTGGAATGGTTTGAAGTTTGAAGAGAGAAAAAGGAGGTAAATGGAAGAATATATAGAGAATTGGTGTGTACGTGGTAGGAAACTGACTGCCAGAGTGGATACAAAGAAACGGTTTCGTTACTTCTGATTTCTTGACAAACCAGCCAACTTTGACTACTACGTACCTTTCTCTTCACCTTCCTTTTTTTTCTATTCCTATCAGTAATATTCCAGAGCTATTTTCAATATATACTTTTTATGAATATATCATACTATAACTATTTATTTTAACACGTGTAATAAACATTATAAGTGACATGAGAATAAGTAAAAATATGAATTCTACTACTAATAATGTTGAACTAAATTTGTATATTCATTTAATTAAGGGCCATTTGCCTATGGCTTTCGCGTCTTTCTAAAATTATAGTCATGGTAAAATCTAAGTTTAAAAAAAATGAAAGGCTTGTTATTCAATAATATAACATGACTTAAATATTCGTGTTAACCAAGCTCTACATAGATCTATTCAAACTTTTAATGAAGTTGATCGGATATTTCTATGGAGAATTAGAATTTCTGTATGATAGTGGATTACACGGGATTCAACTAATCAAATAGAGTAGATAAAGGTTCACAAATAAATTATGTAAGTCGTGATTAATTGAATCATTTCTTTATAAATTTCCTATATCAAACTCTTAGGTTTCAATGCACGAGATCATATTCTAAAAATCATCTTCCTTAGTATAACTCTTATGCATTTTCTTCTTCTAATATTATTAGGACCCGTTTGGTCATAGTTTTGCCAAAATGTATTTGTTTGTTTTTTTGGAAAATATATGTTTGTTCATAAATTTTATCCATATATTGGCAAATTCCCAAAATCCAAAACCCAAATCCCAAAACCAGCTTGGCCCAAAACATTACTATTATATTTTTTAAAAATTGCCCCAAACTTTTGTATTTTATAAAAGAGCCCATTATTTATTATTTTGTAACAATGTTGTTTCGTCTTCTCGGTCATCTGATAATGTATTATGTAGTTCAGTATAAAAATGATAATTTTGTACCAAATTTATTTATGTTCAGGACTATGGTTTGCGGTAATATAATGAAGGTTATTGATGAAGGTACTGTTGGGTATTTGTGATAGTTTTTGAACTTGTGGGTATAAGTCATGTTTCATGTCTTTTTTTAAAAAAAAAGGTGAAATATGTTTTGAAAACTGATATCCAAACACATTTTCATCTTCAAATCATACTTCACCTAAATCAGATTTTTCAAAACAAATATGATAATCTATGGCCAAACGCTAGCTTAGAGTGAACCATTTCAAAAGTGACTATCTATATATTGATAGCCATTTCAAAAGGTATAGTTTTAATCCATTGTATTGAAAATATCATAATCATACAGCTAAGCTTTAGAAGGCAAAGAAGGACCATAGATGCCAAAATGCGAAGAGTCAAATCACAATTAATTTACTTAAAAGGAACGGAATGAATATATTTATACCTGTACGTTGTACAATATGGATTTGTAATTTTGTACGAGTGAGAGTGCGCGAGTGAAAATACAAGATTTTTTTTTTAAGTTTATATTTCATGATTAATGGTCATCAGCAACAGTCAAAAGTTTGCTCCTTAATTAATTCTTTTTTAGTTTTCCATCCTATGCATTGGGGCCTAATTAAATTTAGATTTGTGCCGAAAAGTCCCACATTAATTAAGGGGTAAAAGTTTCCTAACAAAGGGACTCCATACTCAGTGCCCAAACTCGAGACCTGTGATTAATGACGAGGGAATACTTGCCGTTCCATCCTAATACTCGTTGGGTCCTTAATTAATCCTTTTACCTTATCTATTAGTAGTAGCTAGATTCCGTGAACATAGTCGATTGATATGCCACGCGGCTTCACACCATTTGGTTAATTAAGATAAAAGATCGATTAACAGATTGTCTATGTTAGCGTCAGCAAAGACGTAAGGGACTAAAGTTAAGTAGCCTGGTTCGATGGCTGAGTGTAAAGTCATTGGTTACAATGATCATCAACAATCATAAAAGAAAGTCAGCTAAGAAACGCAATGACATAATGAGCATTCTGGCTGCTAAAGAAATAATTAACCATGTTTATTAATTTTTACCACTAAAATGTTTCATGCAATCATGTCGAATGCCTAACATCACCAAACTAGAAATGTTAAAGTGGTTGACTACGGAAAAGGTCTAAATTTTCTGCTACATTTTATAAAATTGCTCAATTTTTTAATTTGCTCCGTGTTATAACTTTTGATCTATATATATCGTTGCCGTTAGCAAGTTGTATTTACTTTTGCCATTAGTGTAACTCCAACGGAAAGTGAGTGACCATATTCTTTAAAGAAAAAGGTTCAAACTTTTTCCTTAACTTTTGATTATGGTTAAAATTACTATCGAGTTATATCTTTAAACATAACATTCTTTAGTACTCAATCTATTCTAATTTATGTGATCTTATTGTTTTTGTAATTCGTTCTAAAAAGTAACATTAGTCATCTCTTCCCCCCCCCCCCCCCCCCTCCGACTAGTCAAGTTGAAGTAGTAGTAGGAGAATGGGAGTTCGCAAGCAAGAATTGAGATAACATTAATTTGCTGTTGGAAGGTGATGGACAAAAGATATAGATAAGGACAGAAGAAAAAGAAACTTCCTAACATTTGCTTTTCTTGAAAAAAAAAAAAGATAAGAGAAACTTCCCAGAAGACGTTAGATCTGTACGGATCCGACATTGCATTCCCTACAAAGGAACACCAACGTTGTCTTTCACGATGTTATATAGCTGTGAGATAGTACGATATTACAAATTGAGTTGTTTCCTTTTAATTTATTTGATTGTGCCTCATATTTGATTTGTTTTCAAGATCGTTGCATATCACTAAAAAGGGATCTATTTTGTTTTTAAAGTTTTCCTCCTCCTATTACTAGGGTGTCAACGATTCGGATCAGTTATTTTAGAAAATTTATACCATACCAATTGTATGGGTCCAAATTTGGACAACCACGACCACTGATGAACACGACAAACGGGAAGATCCTCGCAGCTCAACGTAGGTTCGATAGGGGGCGTTAGGAATATTCCTTTGATTATTCCCCGTAATATGTTTTGTAGGATCTAGAAGGGGTCTGTCCCTTATATATAGGAGGAGAACAACCTTGTAAAGGGGCTTCTCTTTTCTTTTCAACTTTTCTCGAAGACAGAACATCGATTGTAATACTTTTCTACAAAGAACTACCAGCATTTCTAACGTTCGATCATTGGTCCTCATAAGATCAGGAGACATTATCCGTTGTGTTTATCTTATACTCTTTTTGTTCTAGAGATTATTATGCTTGTCTAAGATTTACCCCATCATTTTCTTTAATTGATTTATTCAAAAAGGTTGTAATATCCTTTGAGTTAAACAATTTGGCGCCGTCTGTGGGGATTTCTATAGCCAAGATTTTAGTTTCATCTAGATCCTTGAAAGAAGTCATCGCCTCTTCATAGCCTTGCAAAGCTCAGCAATGGCAGGAAAGGGAGAGGCGAGATTAAAGGCAATAGTAGGCGTCACGAACAACCTGCTAAGCTCCCTCGACGAAGCCGGTAGGGAAAACGCTGAAAACGTAACGCCCAGTGCTACACTTGAGGGAGATACCATGTCCACCCCTCACGAAAGCGTGACTATCTCACGCGAGAAGGAAACCTCAACATCCGCAGCAGGAGAAGCACCACCAGCTGTGAAAAGGCTATTAGAGGAATGGCTAACAAACACCTTGAGCAGCATACTCGACAAGCCCACTCAAAGGAACATCGGAGGCACAATACTCGCAGAAACCGCAGCTATCGCCGGTGAGCCGGAAACTCCACTTACAGGTAACACTCACATTGTCGTTGATGCAGGTAATGATGCACTCGCGGCCATTCTAAAGAAAATGGAAGATATGGAAAACGAAAACAAAACGCTCCGCGATCAGATGAAGGAACATCAGGAAAGGGTCGATAAAATACCGGGCGCTCCAAAGTTGCTACCAAAACGTGATGCAGGCTGATTCATCGTGCAGTCGTACAGTGAAAGAGCAGCCCCCCCACACTATCCCAAAAACATTCAAAATGCCGCCATATTTGAAAATATACGACGACACCACGGATCCGGAGGATCACCTGATTCACTATGTCACCGCGGTAAAAGGCAACAATCTGTCGAAAGAACAAGTTCCCTCGGTACAGTTGAAAAAATTCGGCGAAACTCTGACAGGGGGAGCATTGACATGGTATTCCCAACTGCCAGCGCGGTCAATATCGACATTCGAAGAGATGGCAGATAAGTTCGTTACCGCTCACGCGAGAGCGAAAAAGGCGGAAGCCAGGATAAATGACATCTTCACCGTTAGGCAAACGACGGGCGAAAGACTTCGGGACTTCCTAGCCAGATTCAACAGGGTAAGAATGAGCCTACCAAACGTTTCGAAGGGAATGGCGGTGGCAGCCTTCCAAAATGGGTTAAATAAAAGCGGTTTGAAAGCAACCAAGAAATTGCTGAGTAGACTCATGAAATACCCTTCCACCAAGTGCGAAGAAATCCATAATGCCTATTGCGCTGAAGTAAGAGCAGATGAGGAAGACTTGAATGGGCCGCTCTAACGACTAACATCGGTCTAGACCGAAACAAGGAGGGAGCGCCGCAACGATGGTCGAAGGGATCAACTATCTCGTTTCAATCGAGAAAGGCATCAGCCTTACATCCGGGCATCCATCCCACCACCACCACGACAAGCAGATGTCACGCCCCCGACATACCGGGCCACACCGAAATGAAAGAGGTATGCCTCCATTTCTTTCTGCTCATAACTTTCGCGTTTCTCCTTCAGAAATAGTATATGCACTGAAAAAGCTCGGCACAAAGATGTAGTGGCCGCAAAAGATGAAGTCAGACCCGAGCATCCGGAGATCGAACGTTCTGTGTGAATTCCACCAGGAAAGGGGACACAAGACCGAAGACTACATAGGTCTGCGGCAAGAAGTAGTAAGAATGTTAAACCAGGGACACCTGAAAGAACTACTG